TTGTTACAAGAAAAAATGGAAACAACACTGCATGTTATATTAGTATCGCGATATTTCTCCAAACATGGCACACCAGTACCAACAGCTGCCCCGTGGAAAAATAAATTCTGTGTTTAAATAAGTTGGGAAAGTTCTATTCTTTTACCCACTTTTGGAGATTACATGGTTCATTAACATAGTAAAGACTCTGAGAAAACACTCCTGGGTGAAGAATCCTGTTTGAAGTTGTTGAGTGGTTGAGTTCGGTGTGTATAAGAATTCTAGAAATTGCCACAAGTGTTTCTACTTTAAAAAAAATCTTTGTGTTTTCCTTTCCTTCTCCACTCTTTCTGGAGCCCATCCCTCCTTATCTTTGTATTCAGAATCACCCAAGAGTCAAGATTCTCTCTTTTGTTCTAGAATAACCACTTACTAAACTGAAACTAGCAGATGGCTTTAAGGTCTTGCACGTGGACAAAGATTTTCAGAAAGTACCCAAATACACACTTTCCTCTTATTTTTTCAGAAATGATGAACACTATAAAGATGGGAGAAATATTTAAATGTGTATATGTGTAAACAGGATATATACAGTTCTGCCGATGCCTTCTTTTTATATTTTGTGGTGTTAATTTACATGCTTTAATGTGTTTTGTTCTTGTAATGTGTACGAAGTAGCTGTGATATAGCAATCAGATACAGACTGTACTTGATTACTGTCAATATTTAGCAAATGATCTTTTTGCAACTTGGTTTTAGTGGGGCCTCTGATGCTCTTCCCATAAGTTTTATTTTAAGATCTGTGTTTAAGTGGCAATTACCAATAAAATCAATTCTGCCACTGAATTTGGTTCAAGTTGACTGCAGTAACCTTTATACGTGGATGTATTCAAATAACCAGATTGATTTAAATGATCAGTTTTGTGTCTGTTTCTTAGGATTTCAGTACTTCAATATTAGAGATGCCTTCTGAAAACTGTACCAGCAGTAGAATCCCTTTGTTCTTGAAAATGCAAAGTGTAACATGAGTTTTATATAGACTCTCCAAGAGGAGAGGTGGAATATTCTAAGTGCAAAAGTTTGGTGTTAGAATCAAAGGAAAGCAGCCCATTCTCTAAAAAGGTAACAGCTTTCCCAAATTTGAACATCTTGGGGAGCTCTGATTAGAAGAGAAGTCTGAATTTTAATCTTTTGGATTTAATGGCACTAAATTAACAAATATTAAAAAAAATGGTTTTGAAGACTTTTGTAGAATTAGGGGGGACACTTTGCAAAGCCATCTACTGGGGAATAGTCAAGTACCACAAGTTAGTTTTGGACTGTGCATTTCCCAAGTGAATAGAATTTACTTCACCAAAAAGCTTTTTTTGCACAATTCACAATACTTACAGAAATGTGACTTATCATTGGAGGTAAAAAAAAAATCTCACCTTAATGATACAATTCACAAGCAGCAAATTGGTGCAATTCCTTAATTATTTGGGGGGGTACGAAGGAATAATCTGTTAGTATAGTATAACTGGTTATTCCTAATTGTATCTAGGAACGACTAAGTACTATTATTTAAAGTACTATTGAATTTTGAATAATTGCTCAATGAATTAGTGTTATTGTTGCAGGGAACCCTAAGGATTTTTAATTGTTGAGCCTTTCCCTTTTCCATTTGAGAAACTGTTTTAGAAACTCTACTCTCCACTGGAAACTCGAGCCCCTGCCATTACCCTGCTTGCTTCTTGGGCCCGCCTTCTGTGAGATAACAGCAGTCTCACACCCTCCCCCAGGGGCCAGAGGCAAATTAAGCTTCCCACTATCAGCCAATCTAAATTAACAGGACAGCATCTCTCATTTACATAAGAGGGCCTGAATGAGAAAATAGGAGAAAGAAGGGGGGGAATTTAGGCTATATAAGGAGGTCATTTCTTTTGTTCTGGGGGACACTGGCTTGGGAGTTTTCTGCCCTCCAGTGCCCTCCTTGCTTGCAAGCAACAAAGTGCTATAACGCTGAACAAAAAGCTGCAACACTAAAATAAAGAGCTATAAAACTACAACCCTGACGCCAGTTTTGAATTCCTCAGTGTGTTCGCCCCACAACATTATTAATAAAATTGTACCCTTTGCAATATATTTGCCTCAGAAAAAAAATGCAGAGTTAAAAACAAAATTATAAAAAAAAACACCAAATAGAGATTAGTTATTAATACTTTAAAATCCTACTAATTTCCATAAGCATTAAATCCAATGTCATTTATCTGTTGTATATAACTAAAATTTTGAAAGACTTGCACACAAAATGAGAGGCTTTTTAAAAAATGCCTTTTTGCCAAAACAGGTTCTATGACTTCTTGCTAATTACTTTATTTCCTTAAGGGTACTTTGAGGCGCTTTCAAAGACATATCTGTAGCAATTAGGTCTAAATTTAGAACAGAGCATTCTGCCAGATATTTTACTATATCACAAAATGTCATACTACTGTATTTTATAATAAAACCAAATTCTCAAATATTCTGATGTTACATATTATTATACTAATACATCACTTTCTATAAGTCTGTTATTGTGTGTATAATATTTTAAAAAATAATGGGTATTTTGTCCTAGTGAGAAAGAATAATGTAATACATGACATTAAATGGATCTTTAGTTAAAATCCATTGAGGTGTTTGGCAGGGAAGCTAGCAACCATAAGCTGTAATGTACACATTGTTCTCAAGGACAAATAGCAAATGATAATACAGAAAGGCATGATTACAGGGACAAGTTAGCCGGTGTGCAGACCTTGAAAGATCAACTTGCAAATGCTCATCAGATGTTAGCTTTTGTTATCGGTTGTTCCTGGCGGGGGAAGTGGTACAGTAGTTAATGTTGCTTCCCCTTCAAGTAGGGGATTTACCCATAGCCCACTGCATTTTATAATATCTCTTTAGAAGCAAAATTGAATCAGAAGCTTAGCGATGCACCTTTCTATTTTTAAAACTGCTGTTACGATGTTCTAAACACCGTGATCTTTCCAATAGTGTTTTCTGTATTAGTTTTGTACTGTAGAAAATAACTCGCTATAAACGGGACTTTATAGTGTTTAAAGTGATGCTATTTATTGGCTTATTGCCCTCTCCCTCGCAACACATTTATGTATAGTCTACTTAAAAATGTAAAACCTGTGATAATCCTTTGCCTTAAAATAAAATCTAATGCTAAATATTGATTGTGTCCTAATTAATAACTCTAAGCTACTAATTAATTTTCCCTTGACATCTAACCACGATGTCAATAAAATATTACACAAATACTCTGTGGAGCATTGCTGTTGATTCTGTATTTGTGACAGTATGTATCTTGATCCAGGACATGGCCTGCTGGGTTCCATAAATAGACATTAGTAATCCTTTTAGAGAAAGGGCCTGGTACCTCTCAGCTGTTGGCTGAATCCTCCCCTCAACCCTTATAAATAGTTTCCCACGCCACACAAGAACCAAGAAAAACAGCCCATCATGTTCTCTCCCTATACATTTTTTGTCTTTGTTCCTTTTGAATCTTCACATTCTATTTCTGTTTATATTATTTTCCTAAAAAGAAAAATGCCGGAGATGCCTGAAAATTGAAATGACCGAATTTCACCAGAGAAAGGGATCTTATAATTGTTAAAGTCTAATTCCTTTATGGAGTCTGTTAAAAACTGAGTTTTCGAGAGGTACAATGGCTTGATCATGGTCTGAGGGACAAGGGTGAGCCGAGTCCATCCTGATGTCTAGAAGGTACTCAAAAGTTCAATGGGTGAAAAGGAATAGTCTTGGGGTTGGCACGTAGACAAGCAGACGATACCTTGGGCTAGAAAACTGCTTCCTTATTTGGCCCTGATCTTTGCCCAGAGTTAGTCACAGTTATAATAGAGAAACAGATTTTGTAAGCAGTTTTTCTGGGAAGGAAGGTATTGGATCCTAGAGATTATCTCTGGAGCTCTTTCGCCATTGGAAGCAATGCTTCAGACCACTGTAACTGGAAGAAGAGGAAGGGGCATGCTGACATAGCCGAGGAAAAAGTGAAATCCTACCCCAGCCTGGTGGTGGATGCACGCCAACACACTTGCATTTTGAAAAGCATCTGTGTGGTCTGGTTATTTTTAAATGACCAAAAACACTAGCCTTTTGAAGAGGGGTTCAGGCGTTTCATCGGCCCAGAAAATAGGGACTGGACTGGAAAAGCATCCAGACCCCAATTCTGGGCCCTATCGGTCCCAGTTTTTCAAGGAGATACGAATGGTTTCCGGAGAGAGCCCCGAAAAGGGACTCTAGGACCCAGCAGCTGCGTATTGGGCCAGCAGGGCCCGCTGTACCGTTTTGGACCCCGGCGTGGCGCTAGCCGTCTTAGCACGCGGGTTCGCGGCCCGCCTGGGGACAGTTGCCGCAGAGACGCCGCGGGCACTCGGGCGCGCCAGCGGCGCACTGTGCGCGTGGGCGTGTCCTGGAGGCGCCGCGCTGCCCGCCCCACCCCAGCCGGGCCAACCGCCCCCAGGCCCAGTTCTAGGCGGGCCCGCGTGCCTTGGGCGGGCTGCGCAGAACGCGGGGACAGGGCCCG